TGTGCCAGGGTGGGCCTCTCGGCTCTCACATCACCCCCTTCTCACAGTGGATCATCCCGTTTTCCCCGCAAGCGGCAATGGGCCAGTCCGCAGACCCCCCCACTCCTCGTGGCAGTGGGCCAGTCCACGCTGTCCCCACTCCCCCGCAGGATATACGAGGTTCCTTCCGGGCTGCTCCAGGTCTCCGCGCGCTCACCTTTGGCCTTGCCTTTTCGCCACCGCCGGCGACCGCGGCTCCTCGAGACCTCTTTGGCATTCTTCGAGGCCGAGGCCATAGCGGCCTCGGCGGGTTCCATTCCCCCGGCCGACTCCATCAATTCCCCGCGGTCCTCGCGCGGGGGCCAATTCCAGCCGCGAGGCCCTGCCCAGGGGGCCAATCCTCGCTACACACTACCGTCGGGCCCCCCTATTACCCAATCCCGAGCTTGCTATTCTCTGGGTCCTGCTCCCTAGCCAATCCTGGTCTCCCTCCGCTGCCGTGCTCCGCCCCCAACCGCCAGAATTTAAGATCTGGCTCCGCCCCCTATCGCGCTTTAAAGGGCTCGCGGCCAACAAAAAGGCAGTCCTGGGGGCGGCGAAAAGCGTCCTTCGGACAGGACTAGTGCGGAGCCCCGCGGGGAGCACCCCAGCAGGGAAGTCCCAATCTTCCCACGTGCTGGGAAGCCTCCCATGTGCTGGCTCAGTCTCGCCATCCCACTCACCTTCCCAGGGAGGGATCCCCTAGAACGCGGCCCGGCCCGCCTTTTGAAGGGGTGAAAGTGGGGGCGCCTCTGGGCCTCTGCCTGGGGTGGGGGCGGGCCAGGTCCTCTGCCAAGTCAAAGACGAGGCGGGGCGCCAGCGCTGGAGGCGTGGCTGTGCCTGAGAGCCGTTGGAGGAGGGAGCCCCGCCTTCCCTCTCCTGGCCCCTAGTTCTCCTATTGCGCTTTTCCTGGGGGATCTTTCTCCCTCTGTCTCCGCCCCCCAATCCCCGGTTCCGAGAATGGGGGTGGTGGGTGGTGGTGGCGAGGACGCTCGGCGCCTGCGCACTAGCTTCACGGCGCGGGCCGGCCCAAGAGCGGAGGTAGAGGGAACGACGCATGCCTGAGAAAAGGCGGGAAACATAGGAGGCTCGAGGCTTGCGCACACGCACACAGCTAACTGCTTCTGGACCGCCTGAGAGGCGGCCTCACCCGCCGTGGCGGTGTGCGGCGGGCATCCCTTGAGACTGTGTTCTGGAGGCCTGGAGAAACAGCTTTCCATCCTCAGCACTGGGGAGAGCAGACCTCGATCCCTGTCTTTGCCTGCTGCCCCTCCTCCTTCCCTCTCAAAGCATACCCACCAGCCCTGGCTCTGAGAAACGCGTTATCCTCTTATCAGCTCTGGGAGAGACAGGACGGACTGGCTTCTGGGCGGTGGGGCCGCCATTGCCTGCCCTCTGGACCAGGGCCTCACAGATGCCCTCAACTTCAGGATTAGGGCTGCGTTGCTTTTTCCCCCCACGACAGGGGACTTCAACAAGTAACCTCCAGTTCCAGAGATAAAACTTGCATTCCTCCCTTCTCCATAGCAGGGGTTTTGAGCCTAGAGAAGGAAGATCGGAGCTTCCTGGGGCTCCTATGAAGCAGGCAGGGGGCAGCACTGGGCCCCGGGAAGAGGCAGAGAAGGCGAGAGAGCGCCTGCAGCGAGCCCAGAGCCTTGGGCCCGTTATCCTCTGATGCTGCTCCCCCAACTTTCCTGCCGTCAGCCCCTGACCTTGCCTGAGACCTTGGCAGCTCCCGCACCTCCTCCCAGCTCCTCCTTGCTGAGAACACAACCCGCAAGGCCATTCCGCCTGGCTGGACTGAGTCCCCTATGGAGGCAACCTGGCAGGAAGCAGGTGTCTTCCTGGCAGCAGAGGACAGACCTGGTAAACTGAGAGACTGTTGATGCCCCGATGTTCTGCCTAGCCTGCATGGAAACTCCAGAAGGGTAAGGTCCCATCTGGCATTGTATTGCTGGGACTTACGCCTGTGTCTGCCCCAGAGCTGGTGCTCGGTCAGTTTCTGTGGATGGATGAATGAATACTGGCAAGAGGGCCACTTTCCTGGTCTGGTCCCTAGCCCAGAGTGCCTTCCCACTCTGGGATTTGATTTTCCCCAAATCCTCTGTAGGGAGGGAGCCTGGTCTAGGGGAGAAAGACCCCGGCTTCAAATCCTGACTTTGCCACTTCCTAACTGCATGGCCCTGTGCAAGAACCCTTACTTCTTTATTTTTCTGCCTCAGTGTCCTCATTTATAAAATGAGGATGTTGGCCAGTTGCTCGGTGGCTCATGCCTGTAATCTCAGCACTTTGGGAGGCCGAGGTGGGAGGCTTGCTTGGGGCCAGGAGTTCGAGACCAGCCTGGGCAACATAGCGAGCCCACGTCTCTAAAAAAATGTAAAAATTAGCTGGGTATGGTGGTGCACCTGTAGTCCCAGCTACTCAGGAGGCTGAGGTAGGAGGATCGCTTGAGCCCAGGAGTTTGAGGCTGCAGTGAGCCGTGATCATGCCACTGCACTCCAGCCTGGGCGACAGAGTGAGACTTTGTTTTTTCTTTTTTTGAGATGGAGTCTTACTCTGTCGCCCAGGCTGCAGTGCAGTGGTGCGATCTCGGCTCATTGCAACCTCCACCTCCCGGGTTCAAGCGATTCTCTGCCTCATCCTCCTGAGTAGCTGGGATTACAGGCACCCGCCACCATGCCTGGCTAATTTTTGTATTTTTAGTAGAGATGGTGTTTCACCATCTTGGCTAGGATGATCTTGAACTCTTGGCCTCAAGCAATCCACCTGCCTTGGCCTCCCAAAGTGCTGGGATTACAGGCGTGAGCCACTGTGTCCGGCTTTTTTTTTGTTTGTTTAATGATGGGAATGTTGATCTTTATCTCAGGATTGTTGAAGGATAACCAGAGCTAACCTGATACACCATTAGTTTTTAGTATTTCTTAAGTAAATGAATGACTGTCCCTGAGAGGCTTCAATTCCTCCAGGTTCAAACTCACCTGTATCCTGGTAGTGTCTGTGATTCTGGGCACTGGTTTTCTTATGTGGCGACGTCCCACCATATCCTGACATCACTTTATAACCAGATTTTCTTTTGAAGGGTAGCTTCACTCCCTGGGCCACCATTCCACCCATCGTGGCTAGAGACTCTGTGTCTGAAGATGATCCCACCTCTGATTCTGACTCAGAATCTGTGACCCACGCAGAAAGTGCCTTCCACTCTAGGGCTGATCGCTGCATGGATAGTTCCTGCAGTTTTGTTAGAAATCCCAGCTCTATCAAAGATCCCTGCTTGGATTTGGCTCCCTGGACTGGAGTTGTTTGCTGGTCTGACTGTTCAGGTGTCTCTTGGGATGTAGATTCAGTCGGGTCTGATGGCTCCCTTTTGGCTCCAGGTTTAGCCTGGGCCTCAGGTGTTGATTCCGCTTCTTGTTGAACTGGAGGTGGCTCTCCTGGCCCAGACCCTGGCTGGGCTACATGTCTTTCTCTCAATGCTGGCTCCTGTTGAGTTGTAGATTCTTTTCCTAGCCCAGGTCCCTGCTGGGAGGCAGGTTCCTGTTGAGTGAGGGGCACCCTTTTGACGTGAGGTGATTGCTGTAGTGCAGGCTTCTGTGGGGCAAGAAATTCCTCTTGTGAAGCAGATTTTTGTTGGGCTCTAGGATCCTTCTGGGATTCAGCATCATGTTGTGCAGGGGTCTCCTGCTGGGTGAGGGGTCTTTGCCTTGAATCAGGCTCCTGTTGGGTCTTCGATTCTGGCTGGGCTATGGGTGTCTTTTCTGGCTCTGGCGTGGTTATAGGCCTCTGGTGTGGCTCAGGTTGCCAGTCTGGCCTAGATGCTGACTTAGAACCTGGCTCCATTGTTACTTCCCTCACGGGAGATATTGATCTTCCAGGTTTCATCCTTCTGGGCTCCCACCCAGCCTTCTCTCTTCACAGATATCTCATTGATTCCTCATGATGGCACGTTCCCTTGGGTTTCACTCCATCCTGGCATCATTGGTCTTCCTTTTTAAGGCAGCTGGCAGTGGGCCGATCACAGCTGGCCCCCACTAAGTAGTGAACTCTGTGCCTCTTTCTTTGGTGGGAGGATTAGGAGTAGGAGGAGGCTATGTGCCCAGCACTCTCTTACAAGAAGGGAGGGGCTTGCTCTCTTGTGTCATAAATAGGGCCCCAGGGCCCCACCCCACCCACCACTCAGTGAAAATGTTTCTTCTCATAAGGCAAGCATCCCAGTTTAGGCTTCTGTGTCATCTGGGATGATAGAAGCCAGATGCTGGATAAGTGTTCCTTTTTCCTCTCTCCTTCTGATGTTTGAGGAAAGCGTCATTCAGGGGGCAGTCTCTGTAGTTGTTGTAGTAATTATTTCCTTCTTTGTTCCTTCCTACAAATGGTTGCTAGATTATTTATTTATTTATTTATTGAGACAGAGTCTTGCTCTGTTCCCCAGGCTGGAGTGCAGTTGTGCCATTTTGGCTCACTGAAACCTCCACCTCCTGGGCTCAAGTGACTCTCCTGCCTCAGCCTCCCAAGTAGCTGGGACTACAGGCACGCACCGCCACGCCTGGCTAATTTTTGTATTTTTAGTAGAGATGGGGTTTTGCCATGTTGGCCAGGCTGGTCTTGAACTCCTGACCTTAAGTGATCCGCCTGCCACCCTCCCGCCCCAGGCCTCCCAAAGTACTGGGATTACAGGTGTGAACCATCACACCCAGCCAGGTTGGCAGTTTAATTTCCTTATATTGTCACTCTGATCATTTAACTCCCATGCTAAAAACTAATGTCATGCCCTCCCATCTTTATAGCTTGAGGCCCTTCTGAATGACATTTGAGATACTCCATGCCATCTCTCTAGCCCTGAACTATGATCCTGTACTAGATTGGAAACTCAAAGACAGTGACCACTGATGATGGTAACTGATAATGATGGTGGTTATGGTGATGATAGTAGTTATAAATACCAAAGGCTGCCTAAGTGCTAAGAAACTGTGCCAATTTTTTTTTTAAAACCTATATTATCTTTAGTAAGACCATGTCCAGTTCATTGGTATACTTTTTTTTTTTTTTTGTCCCACCTAGCTCTTACCTCAGAAAGATTTGTTGAATGAGTGAAAGATGAACAAGTAGGCCAATGGAGACAGAGTGAGGGTCTTGGTGGGGAGAATTATGTGTAGAATCTGCATTCAGTCTGCAGTGAATAGAGTAAAATGGGTCATTTGGATGTGAATTGGCAGACCCCATTTGAAAGAAACAATTTTGATCTGTTACATTTAAAAATATTTATTGACTTCTGTTTGCTACTTTGCTGATTGTATTTAGGTTAAATGACACCAGCTAGGAAGCTACAGTTTCCTGGAATCTTTCAGATAATTAAGCCTAAGCCTGGGTAAGGGGAGGGCACGGGATAAGACTGACAAGAGAAGGTACTAGAGAGAGCAACAACCAAAATGATCTTGAGAAACATGCTTTTTGAGAGCACTGGAATGATTTAGGGATGGGTACAGTGGAAGAGTGAGGTGGGAGAAGAAGAGTGTCTGGTAGGTATGCTCACTGTCTTCTTGACTGAGAATATTTAATAGGAAGAGTGGGAGCTCAGAGCTCCTACAAAGGCAGAACAAAGCTTCTTAGCTGACATTGTTTGAGAAATTGCTGGCAGGCTCTGGAATGCTTGTTTGGCTTTCTGTGGTGCCTTTGGTGTCCTAGGGTGCAAATAAAGGGGAGAGGCTAGTGTTAAAAACATTTTTAACATTTCTTTCTTTTTATTTTTTATTTTGGAGACGGAGTCTTGCTCTATCGCTGGATGAGCAGGCTGGATGGAGTGCAGTGGCACGATCTCAGCTCATTGCAACCTCTGCCTCCCAGGTTCAAGTGATTCTCCTGCCTCAGCCTCCCGAGTAGCTGGGATTACAGGTGCCTGCCACCATGGCTGGCTAATTTTTGTATATTTAATAGAGACAGGATTTTACCATGTTGGCCAGGCTGGTCTGGAACTCCTGACCTCAGGTGATCCACCCTCCTCGGCCCCCCAAAATGCTAGGATTACAGGCATGAGCCACCATGCCTGGCCTTAACATTTAATTTTTTTTTGTGATGGAGTCTCGCTCAGTCACCCAGGCTGGAATGCAGTGGTTCGATCTTGGCTCACTGTAACCACTGTCTCCTAGATTCAAGCGATTCTCCTGTCTCAGCCTCCCGAGTAACTGGAATTATAGGCACCCACCATCATGCCTGGCTCATTTTTGTATTTTAGTAGAGATGGGGTTTCACCATGTTGGCCAGGCTGGTCTTGAACTCCTGACCTCAGGTGATCCGCCCTCTTTGGCCTCCCAAAATATTAGGATTACAGGCGTGAGCCACTGTGCCCAGCCAACATTTAATTTTTATGAGAGTTTTAAAGATTATAAAAATAAGACTCATCCAGTGGAAAAACATTTTTAAATCCTCACCCCAGCCTCTACAACACATTTTCCAGGGCTAGCCACTGTTAATAGTTTGCTACATATTTTTCCATACCTTCTGTTATATAAATACAATGGTTTATTTTAAAAACAAAAATGAGATTATACTATACGTATTGCCTTAGTCTGACCTTTAAGAAATCTGGCCGGGCATGGTGGCTTACGCCTGTAATCCCAGCACTTTGGGAGGTCGAGGTGGGCAGATAGCTTGAGCCCAGGAGTTCAAAACCAGGCTAGAGTGCAGTGGCGTGATCTCAGCTCCCTGCAACCTCCGCCTCCCGGATTCAAGCAATTCTCATGCTTCATACTCCCGAGCAGCTGGGATTACAGGCGTGCACCACTATGCCCAGGTAATTTTTATATTTTTAGTAGAGACAGAGTTTCATCATGTTGGCCAGGCTGGTCTTGAACTCCTGGCCTCAAGCAATCCACCTGCCTCGGCCTTCCAAAGTGCTGGGATTACAGGCGTGAGCCACTGTGCCTGGCTGCCAATATACTTTTTAATATGACACTTAAAAACTGGTAGACTAAACTGGGTATGATGGTGTGTACCTCTAACCCCAGATCCTTGGGAGGCTGAGGTGGGAGGATCACTTGAGCCCAGGAGTTTGAGACCAACCTGAGCAACAGAGCAAGACCCCCACTCAAAAAACAGAACAAAACAACAAACACAAAACTGCTAGACTAGGGAGGAGTCAAATTCTGTTTGATACTGACACTGGTGTAATCTTCAGAGATTAATTACCAGGTCTCCAACAGCCCCATCTACCCCCACTTTGGTAAAAGTGAGGTTTTAAAATCTAAGAATTTGGTTAAACCTTTCCAGCATCAGGAGAATTGTATCCTGCTTTTCCTGCTCTTCCTATTTCCCGACAAGTTGACATTGAGTAGAAAGGGCTGAGTTGTGTGCTTATCCTGGTCTTAATTTCACCTCTTTTTTCTATTCTCAACCGTGCTTCATCCCTAGTGATTCCACGGAGTGACTGTGGTATAAGGAAAATCATCCTCTGCAAACTTACTTGTTTTCTTCACATTGCCCTTGAAATGATCACAGGGACACTGCTTCTTTGGCAGCCCAGAAACTGTCATGACTTTTCTTCTCGGGGCTCTCAGGAACCAATCTGAAACAACAGCACTGCTGCTTAGATGGGAGAGTTAATACATATGATAGGAGGGAGTAGGACGAAGCTTTAATCACCATCTTCTGTGCCTTGAATTTCCACTGCAATGGGGTAGGAAAAGGGGTCAACACAGAACAGTGTCCATCCGGCTATTTGAATGCTTGTATTTCTGAGTTGTTTTTCCTGACCTGTTTGGGCAAGGGTTTGGTGGCAGGTTTGGAGGGTGCATCAGAATATCATTACTCCAAAGAATGAGGAGTAAGGCTTGGGTGTCTGCTTTCCAGTGGCTGCTTTCCCTTGGGGAAGCCATTTTGTCTCTCTGCTTTCAGTCTTACCTATGAGTAAAATAAGGCTGAGAATAGGATTCAGGAAGCTTTTGGAAGGCCAGGAAAAAATAAAAAGCCTTTTGGGCGGTAGCCCTGGGTTCTTTAGGAAAAGGATAAGGGGCAGGGGGCAGCCTGACATTGGCTGGCTTTCCCCCTAGACCTTGGAGAAGTCCAGTTTTTGCCTGAGAGTCAGGAAGAAAGCGGGCACGGGTGCTGCATGTGGCAGATTGTGGAGAGGGGAATGGGTGAGGTCAGCTGAGATAACATCTGCATTGGTCTCAGAGGGGCCCAAGGGAGAGAGCTGGGGTCATGGTGATGCCATCGCTGTTGTTGATGCTGAGTTACTGACCTTTGCACTCACATTCTTGGCTGCCTTCCTGGAGCCACTTCCTAGAAGCCTGTCCTTGGTCCCTATGGCCTCTGGCGACCCCTGTCGGAAGGAAACAGGTCACATCCAGACACTGGAAAGGGAACAGAAATGATCCTCCCAGCATTGTGCTACCTAGGTCAGCACAGTTCCATTTTTCCATTTTTACTTCAAGAATCTAGGTTACTTCAAGAGACGAATATTTTATTTTTATTTATATTTTTGAGATGGGGTCTTGGTACCTTGCCTAGGCTGATCTTGAACTCTTGGGCTCCAGTGATCCTCCTGCCTTGGCCTCCCAAAGTGCTAGGATTATAGGCATGAGCTACTGTGCCCAGCTGAGGGGTATTTTAATCAATGAGGAATTGAGGTTTAGAATCCGGCCTATACATAACCATATTAAAAAATTTCATGATTAAACAACATCTGGCCTAGGGAAAAGCGTAGCTGAAGGTAGGTGGAGAAAGAATGGCTTCTAGATGGAAGAGAGGATAAAAGGTAGGGCTTTGTCAAAGCCTCCCGACCTCTCCCCATACCTCACACTAAAATCCTCATGACTTAAAAGAGTGAGAGCAAGGAGGAGATTATTCCATAAACCAAGATTTTCCCTTGACCTCCAAGTTGCTGGGTTTGTTTGTTTGTTTGTTTGTTTTTTGAGACAGGATCTCACTCTGTCATCCAGACTGGAGTGTAGTGGTGCAGTCACGGCTGCAGCCTCAACCTCCTGGGTTTGGTTGGTCCTCCCATCTCAACCTCCTCGGTAACTGAGGCTTCAGGCATGCACCACCACTCCTGGCTAGTTTTTGTATTTTTTGTAAAGATAGGGTTTCGCTACGTTGCACAGGTTGGTCTGGAGCTCCTGGGTGTAAGCGATCTGCCCGTCTTGGCCTCCCAAAGTGCTGTGATTATAGGCATGAGCCATCACACCCACCCCAAGTAGCTATATTTGAATCCAGAGTCCCAGTTCAGCTATCAAATGATGGTATTTACCTTTGTTCCTCTGGAACAAATACATTCTTCTTTTGGCCTCTATCCGAGCCTGTTTTTATCTTCTGATTCTATCTTATCTCCATTTTTTGATACTTAAAATATTCCTATGACAGGCCGGGCTCGGTGGCTCACGCCTGGAATCCCAGCACTTTGGGAGGCCGAGGCAGGTGGAACATGAGGTCAGGAGATCAAGACCATCCTGGCTAACACGGTGAAACCCCCTCTCTACTAAAAATACAAAAAATTAGCCAGGGAGGGGTGGCGGGCGTCTGTAGTCCCAGCTACTTGGGAGGCTGAGGCAGGAGAATCTCTAGAATCCAGGAGGCGGAAGTTGCAGTGAGCTAAGATTGCACCACTGTACTCCAGCCTGGGCGACAGAGCAAGAGTCCATCTAAAAAAAAAAAAAAAAAAATTCCTATGACAATCAAGGATGATGGTTTATAGACTTGAGATTCTCAAGTAAGAACTTGGCTCAGATGACACCTCCTTTATGGTGGTTTCTGATACTTCCTGTCAGAATGAATTATGCCTTCATGCGGTTCCTATTGTATTTGAATGCAGTTCTGTTATTGCACTGTAATGTTGTTGTTTGAAATCTTTTATGCACTGAATTGTGTCTCCTGAAATTCACATGTTGAATCTGTAACCCCCAGTACCTCAGAATGCCTGTATTTGGAGATAGGGCCTTTAAAAAGGTGATTAAATCAGGCTGTTATGGTGGGCCCTACTCCAGTCTGGCTGGTGTCCTTACAATAAAAGGAGATTTGGGCCGGGCGCGGTGGCTCACGCCTGTCATCTCAGCACTTTGGGAGGCCGAGGCGGGTGGATCACAAGGTCAGGAGTTCAAGACCAGCCTGGCCAACATAGTGAAACCCTGTCTTTACTAAAAATACAAAAATTAGCTGGGCATGGTGGCATGCGTCTGTAGTCCCAGCTACTTGGGAGGCTGAGGCAGGAGAATTGCTTGAACCCGGGAGGTGGGGGTTGTAGTGAACTGAGATCGCATCAACGGACTGCAGCTTGGGCCACAAGGTAAGACTTCGTCTCAAAAAAAAAAAAAAAAGGCCCTTATGAATGGGACATAGGCCAGGTGTGGTGGCTCTCACCTGTAATCCCAGTGCTTTGGGAGGCTGAGGCAAGGGGATTGCTTGAGGGCAGTAGTTCAAGACAGCCTAGGTAATATAGCGAGGCCTTGTCTCTACTATATATATATATATTTTTTTTTTAAAAAGGTAAGGTAGCCTAGGCTGGGCATGGTGGCTCATCCCTGTAATCCCAGCACTTTGGGAGGCTGAGGCTGGCGGATCATTCGAGGTCCGGAGTGCAAGACCAGCTTAGCCAACATGGTGAAACCCTGTCTCTACTGAAAATACAAAAATTAGCTGGGTGTGATGGCGCATGCCACCTGTAATCCCAGCTACTGGGGAGGCTGAGGCAGGAGAATTGCTTGAACCCGGGAGGCAGAGGTTGCAGTGAGTCAAGATCATGCCATTGCACTCCAGCCTGGGCAACAGAGTGAGACTCCGTCGCAAAAAAAAAAAAAAAAAAGTAGGAGGGATCCTACAGAGCTCTTTCATTCTCTTTCCACCTTTTTTTTTTTTTTTTTTTTTTTTTTGAGACGGAGTCTCGCTCTGTCACCCAGGCTGGAGTGCAGTGGCCGGATCTCAGCTCACTGCAAGCTCGCCTCCCGGGTTCACGCCCTTCTCTACTGCCTCAGCCTCCGAGTAGCTGGGACTACAGGCGCCTGCCCACCTCACCCGGCTAAGTTTTTGTATTTTTTAGTAGAGACGGGGTTTCACTGTGTAGCCAGGATGCTCGATCTCCTGACCTTGTGATCCGCCCGTCTCGGCCTCCCAAAGTGCTGGGATTACAGGCTTGAGCCACCGCGCCCGGCCTCTCTTTCCACCTCTTGAAGATAAGAGGAGAAGTCCGCTGTCTGCAGCCTGGAAGAGGACCCTTGCCAGAACTCAGCTGTGCTGGTACCCTGATTTCATAGATCCAGCCTGCAGAACTGTGAGGAATAAATTTCTCTTATTTATGCCACCCAGTCTGTGGTATTGTGTTAATGCAGTCCTAGCAAACTAACATAAAATCTTTCTCCTTCACTAGACTCTGAACCATTGGCTCAATAGTCATTCAGCTATGTGGTTCCTGACACATGGTAGGCATTTGGTAAATGTTTGTTCAACACGTGGATGGATATGTTGTTTGGAGGGGACCCTTAGAGATCATATGGCTCAATTCAGGCCTCCTACTTCCCAGACTTCTGCCACACAGATGGAGGGGGTTGCGTCATTTCCCCAAGGGCTGCTTTTCCAGTGTTCTCATGTGCTGTTTTGAGTGTTATCAAAGTACTTTAACCTGGCATAGCCCCTGCCATGTAAACTTTTCTAACATTTTTACTCTTGCCTGACCTCTACTCCTAGTTCCAGAGAAAAACCACAGAATATTAGGCCCTGAAGGAAATCCCGGAGATTATTTAATCGAATTCCTTAATTCTGAAGTTTTTTTTTCAGTCTAAATGTAATTTAACTGTTGGAGAAAATTTTGAAAGTACAAACAGAGAAATTACTATTCTTACAAACTGTTGGTATTTTGGCATATTTGTTACCTGCATATGCTTTTTATACAATGTAGTGATAACCATAGAATGTAAACACATTCTCTTTTTCCATTCATAGGCATGTTGCTGTGTTATCTTTATAACACATTTTTAATGAATGCATAGTACTCTCAATAATTATGTGTTCCAAATTATTTAACTGCTTTCCCATTGCTGAATATTTAGAAAGTTTTATTTTTTAGAAGTTGGTAAATTTCTTTGTTCTTATAACTGTTTTCCAAATTTTAGATTATTTTCTTGGGAGAGAGTTCCCAAAGTGGAATTACTGGGTCAAAAGTTAAGAATTGCTTTCAAAAGAGCTGTACTAATGTTTAAATTTTATTTTTTAATTATTTTATTTTATTATTTTATTTTATTTATTTATTTTTTTGAGACGGAGTCTCGCTCTGTGGCCCAGGCTGGAGTGCAATGGCCAGATCTCAGCTCACTGCAAGCTCCGCCTCTGGGGTTCGCGCCATTCTCCTGCCTCAGCCTCCCGAGTAGCTGGGACTACAGGCGCCTACCACTTCGCCCGGCTAGTTTTTTGTATTTTTTAGTAGAGATGGGGTTTCACCGTGTTAGCCAGGATGGTCTCGATCTCCTGACTTCGTGCTCCGCCCACCTCGGCCTCCCAAAGTGCTGGGATTACAGGCGTTAGCCACTGCGCCCGGCCAAGGGCTGTACTAATTTCATTAAATCACTATCTCCTTTTTTTTTTTTAAGATGAGGAAACAGTCCCAGAGAGAGCAAATGAAATGCCCAAGTTCATAAAGGTAATGGGGACATATCTAGGGCTGAAACCCAGGTCCAGGATTTTATTTTATTTTTAGTGACCAGGGTCTTGCTATGTTGCCCGGGCTACAGTGCAATAGCTGTTCACAGACATGATCACAGCACAGTGTGGCCTCAAACTCCTGGGCTCAAGTGATCCTCCTTCCTCAGCCTCCCAAGCACTACCACACCCAGCTACAGGTACAAGATTCTTAGTCTGTTGTTTTATTCTGCACTGCTATATGACCCTAGTTTCACAGAGGAAACTGAAAATGAAGCTGCATGGTGCTATAGTATTATGTCTCCCAAACTTCAGACATTTTTAGACCATCTTTATGATTTTTTTCTATAGCTTAAACCACCCTTAGTATTATTTACTTCATGCTTTTTCTTTTTTCTTTCTCTTTCTTCCTTCCTCCCTCCCCTCCCCTCCCCTCCCTCCCTTCCTCCCT